GAGCAATTACTTGGTCAACCCCAATTTTTTTCATATTCTACTACGGTCATCAGGAGGTTCTCAGAAAGCAAGAAACATATAATTCAAGGCCCGAAAGGCCATCGTACAGGTTGCCGAGCGATAAGAAGGTTCAAAGTCCAAGTGATAACAGTGGCTTCTTGATCCAGTTGCCGCTGACTCGGATGAGGACGTTGAACCCGGCGATTACTGAGGTAATTAATAACCTAACTTAACCTAACCTAACCTAACCTAACCTAACTTATTATGTTTTTTTTAGTCTCAAATACATCTCTAAGGCCAATTGTAACAGTACCGTTACGTTAGGTTAGGTTAGGTTAGGTTAGGTTAGATTACGTTAGGTTAATTAATAACCTAACTTAACCTAACCTAACCTAACCTAACTTAACCTTGCGGGGCTTGAATTATATGTTTCTTGCTTCCTGAGAACCCCCTGATGACCGTAGTAAAATATGAACAAAATTGGGGTTGACCAAGTAATTGCTCAGAATTACCGTCGGTGACAAATGTTCTACCTGGAAGCAGATTACTAGAGGTGTTCCTCAAGGATCTGTTCTTGGCTCACTATTGTTCTCAATTTACATCAATGACATCATAGAACATATCACTAACTCACACTACCATCTGTATGCTGAAGACGTACAGATTTACTCCCAATTCAATGTAGACGAGATGGATATTGCTGTACGACTCATGAACATTGACATTGAATTGATAACTCACTGGGCCACAAACAACGGACGGGATGGTTGTTGACTACCTCAGGCTAATGACTAAAATTAACTTACTCACTGCACCACGACTTAACTTTGACGTAAAGGATCTCACCTACTACGAAAAAACTTAGGACTCATAATGAACAAACATTTGAATTGGTCTGAACAAGCGAATTCCACTTGTAATTGATGTGGTGATCAAATTACATGACTAATGAAGTTTCTAGTAGACTTCCGCGAGCGCAGAATTCCTGTATCAGATTCATGTTTGGCCTTAGGTGATATGACCATATGTAACTCCCTATTTCAACCTGCTTTCATTAATGAAGTTAAATAAACTTTGGGAATTTCACACCCTCCGTCTTCTGCACTCCATTATCAATAGTAAAATTCCCAATTATTTATCAGACAACTTCCATTTCATTTCTGACATCAGCACCCGTGCCACTCGTACAGGCTCTCACCTTTTATCCACACCAATTCACCGGTCAACAGTTTTCAACAAATCTGCAATTCGAATGTGGAATTCTCTTCCTGGCCATATCAAATCCATAGAAAACCTTGCGAGGTTTGGGTCAGAGATTAAACCTATTATATTGAGCAGCAGGCATGAGTGAGTCTCTGGCACTGGTGTAAAAGGTTGTTGGCGGCTTTTGTGGATGGGATTTTTGACTACCTACTAAATTTAATTTCTTCATGTTTACTCATTTAATGTAGCACTTAAGATTATTTAAATTTACTTATGTAGGTGAATTAGTTTTATTTATTTATGTTTTAGAGGTTAAGTGGTAGAGAGGACTTACTAGTCCTGACTTTGCCTCCTAAATAAAGACATTTTTCATTTCATTTATATTGGTAGAACATAGATCCTCGACTGATAGAGATATTCATTAGTACATCTGCAACACATACGTATTGAAAATAGTTGATTATTTCAGTATGGTGGTAACGAAAGTATACCCCTTGGAGCTTGGATTAAGTAGGCACTTTCACACTGTTAAATAACGATGATTTTGAACCAGGAAAGGTTCCCAAAATCGTTTATATAGAATTCAAAAACACTTTTTATATATATACCGTAAGGTATTTAAATTTTTTTAGTTAATTTCTATTCAGTATTTCTTTTACGTTTTATGCTCTGGTTGTAAATTTAAGAACAGTTTTTTGTATGAGTGGGCTAAAGTGTAACTAATTAAGTAATTATAGTGGTTAAGTAATTGGTATTTCACGGATCAATAGTTCACTACTCACACAATCTTAACTAGCATCGATAAAGCAAAAATTTGATTGACATTCACTGCTAAGGCTTTCGCATCCTATTAAATTCTTAAGGCTTCAGCAATTTTTTTAAACAGAATTTATAAGCAAGTTTATTTTACAATCGTAAATATGTTTGAGAAATCATGATAAAATCGCAAGCTTCTACAATTCTTCTTCCAGGTTTTGAAATAAGTTAGTTGAAATAAAATGAATTATGTTTAATCAATAAAAAAAGAAAAGGATGAAATGTCAATTTATTTAGCTATAAAAAACATTCTGTGAACTTCTTTTTCAAGTTTAGTGCTTACTTAATAAATTGAATAAGTAAGTAAGTTGAGTAAGTAAGTCATGTACGCAATACAACCTCATATTTTGCGATATCCTCATTCCAAAAACCATTAAAAAACAAATAAACCTTAAAAAAACAAAGATCCAAATTTGTATAAGCATATATACAAACATTTTCAATCAGTCACTACTGTCTTCAGATTTGGATGATTTATTAGTCTATTGGCCTCTGTTTCAGGTGAGTGAGCTTGTCTAGTGGTATGTAAACCACCTATGTATTGGTCCACGCTGGGTTTACGAGTTCAAATCGCACCAATCACCAATGATATTCAACAGTGTAATAATGCCGTGATTCGAGGCTAGATAGCCGTAATTCACTTCTAAATATGACTATTTTTACGGCAAAAATAATGTTACCTTCAAATAAATATCAAATTAAAAAAAACCTGTAATCAATTAAATAATTATACAAGCATATAAAAATCAAAGCTCTCACTCACTCACTGATTCATTCTTCACCAACTATATGGCTTCCAGACCAGCTAGAATATACTCATTAATATAATCTCATTATTTAGGTTAAATGAAAGTCATAAGTGTTTTACCAACGTATCGCACCGTAGAAGCTATTATATAGTTAAAATATCATTCTTATAGACATTCAATTTCAGTTAGGTAGCATCGATTTAAAAATTTGTCAATCGGTTGAAACTATTAGACTTTTGAATACTGAAGTAGATATACCTATATAAACCAGCTGTCAAAAATTGTTTTTTTTTTTAAGAACGTAGTTGTGTGAGCAAGTGACAGATTGCGCTAGTGTCTACAATTATAATTTTACCTTATATTTGCCGCATGTTCGACAAAGATTAAAATTAAATATGTTAGATTAAAGATTGTAATTTAAACCAACACAATCTGTAGGTGGCTCACTTCAAGTACGTCAATTTTGATTTAAAAACCATTGACGACTTTATCATGGGAATGGAACGCTTATTTCTATCATTAGTCAAAGGTAAAGTTTACTAGACTTGCATGCGTAAGTCAGTTCTTTACGTCTGTATGTACAAAGAATGATTTGCGATTGATCAATTTGTGTATTGATTTTTCTGTTGCTAGGTGACAAAATCAACAGAACGTTACCCTCCAGTGTCATTTCCTTATTATTAATTTTTGCGAGGATAATAATGGTGTTAGTTTTAAATTCAATACTTACCGTCCAGCGTATTACTGGTTGTCCAGTGGTAGAAAACTCGACCAAAAATAATATTTAATGTACAAACTTCTCTATTGTAAACCCACGCTATAAAGAACACATGTGATTGGAATTGCTTCCCATTTGTTTTGATTTTCTGTTTATATTTCGTTATCATTTCGTCACCGTAATGAAAACCCATAAGGCTCATGTAAAATTTTTACATTTTACATTCTTGTGCTTAATTATTAGCCTTAATTTATAAAGGGAGTATCCTCATCCACAGCAAAATATCTTTCTAACAGTATGCGTCAATTGTTGTGCTATGCACATGAGCTGGGAAATAAGGTTTTCAAGAAACATGCTAGGCTATTCATATATGTATTCATATATAGGATTTTTGGCTATTATTTATACATTAAAATTATCTACAGTATAATATTAACATGGTTCTTGGTCTGCATTAAAAACATATGATGTTTTATTATTGATGCAGCTGTTTACAAATAATTAAAAAGTAGTGGTAGTGATTGTAAGGGAATAAAACTATGTTTATGTTAACGTTTTCTTTCATTAACTTTGAATATAATAAAATATACAAGACAAATACAACTCACTCACTAACTGATCACTGTAAATCAAAAACTACAAGTCATAAGAACTTAGGGATTGGAATGGAGGTTCCAGTTAAGCTCTAGGTGTGCAATAAGAAGCGCTTTTAAGAAATTTCACCAGGGCTCTGCCCCATCTTGCGGGATATCATGCGGTCTTTAAAGTCCCCATGACATCCTTATGGAAAATGATTTGTTCTCATTTAAACAGATGAATACTTTTGAATCCAAAACTATTATTTAAGGACACTGATGGTTATATTTAACTAGTTTAAATCAAAATATCGGCTTTATTTTTGTAACTTGAAAATTTGTATTTTACTGCATAACACTTTTAGTAATCGTTAAATTAATTTAAATACCCCTCCTACAGCTAACCTGGAGACCGAGCAAATTTCCATTTACTTGGCTATATTTCTACTAAAATATTCCCTAAATTTGCCAGATTTATTTCCTATTAAATAACATTGATTTTAATGAGTACTTTGGTTTGCCACGGAGACGGTGCTTTAACAACCCAACAATAACTTGCAATCAAATAACATATCCAAAAGGCAAACATGACCTAAATGACTTTATATATATATATATATATATATATATATATATATATATATATATATATACAAAAAGTTAATCTGTGTGTTGTGATAAGTTAATTATGAAAAAATCGTGTTTGTATAACGAGCACAAACAATCATTACCGCTCTAGTTCTCGAGCGGCAATGACGTACTTTGCGCTCTCATAGTTCAGTAACTGCCCTCGGGAAACTCAGTGTCGATAACTGATTACCTTGGTTGGTACCTGAGTAGATGGAGTCAGGTTAGCAGCAAACCTAAAGAGATCTAATTATTTATATTAATGTTATTGAAATAGAAAATGAACTTGACAACATCAAGGGAATGTTTTAGTGATAAATCCAACCAAAACCTGCAGGTTTGCTGTGGCAGGGAGGGAAAGTTTTGCCGATCAAGGGTTACCAAAACGGTCACAACCATCAAAAACTCAAACAAAAAGTGTTGATGATAAGTAACTTTCTCAACATAGAAAGTTCAACTTAGTAAGTATATGCTACGTGTAGGGGAGAAAGAGTAAAGATGAATAACTTTCTTTGACATTTCTCTTTATTTGATTGGGAATCAGGGACAAAAAATTGCTATGGCTGTATAGGTAAGAAAAAGAAAGAATAACTAAGAGAAAATATACAAATAAATACAACTTGGAATATTTACTTTACAGGATAATCATCGATTAAATTGCGTGCCTATGATCTAGATTTAGGGATTCACTTTTCAGCCTTCGATTTTACTAAGTTCACATACAAAACTACGAAACTGGTAACAATCGTAGTTAGCAAATCCCTCACGGGAAGCTGCCAAGCAGTGGAAAAACCCACTAGGCTCACCAGCCCTCCAATGTGTATATGAAAGTGGTTGTCCAGTGGATATCCATCGGAAATCTGGATAACGGCGCTCGGCATTACCACCAATCCATGCGCTAACGTCCAAAACTTTATCTGTCAACATAAACGATATTTATGTCTTAAGGTGGAATAAAATAAACTGTATCAGCAACTTACACGCAATTTCCACATTATCGAATGTTATGGTAAATTATGTTATTTTCCCATATAAACCCCATAAAATGACGAAAAATAGGATTTTAAAAAAATCCGGTTTTTATTTAACAGAGTATGTTATGGTCCTTACAATTTTTATTTTATTTTTATTTTTTGAAATTTTGGTTTTTAATGGGGATTTTTTACATAAAACCCCATAAAATAACGGAAAAATAGGATTTTCCCAAAAACGGCCCGAACAATTTTGATCAAAATTTAGTATGTCATAGTCCTTTGTATTCTAAACAAAATGGTACAAATCCCATTTCTGTAAAAAAATACGGTTCAAAAGTTATTGTAAATTATGTTATTTTCCTATAAAAAACTCCATAAATTAACGGAAAAACTGGATTTTCACAAAAATGGCCCGAACGATTTTGATAATGTTATAGTCCTTTAAATTCTGATCAAAATTGTACTAATCCCATTTCCGTATATTTACCCTCATCGCTTACACATGATAAAGGTTGTTGACAAACTTATGGGAGAAAGTATGTGTCAGAATGCTGATACAGTAGAACCCCTCATATCCGGCCTTGGTTTTACCGGTCCTCTGTTTATCCGGCCTCTTCCAGGAAGCCAATATCAAAATTTTTTTCTCACACATTACAGACGTTTATATGCAAGCACTACCTAGTCTTTGTGACTGCTCAAGTCATCAAACAAATTGTTCTCATTATTTATCTGTTTGTTTATACATTTATTTGCTGAGTCACTATATAGGCCTACTAACCTCTGAGGCCTAACCTCTGATCAGTTGGTTGATTATTTCCAAAGCGGGGTTAGTACAGTACAGTACCTACATTAATCTTTGTATTTCACAAAATGTATAAGAATGTAAAGTTGAAATGCATGTACCATTTAAGTCCTATAACGATCTTCAAGTCCAATTTATTGTCATTTTTTCCACCATTTAATACCTTTTGTTACCTGGAATCATCATATTTGTACTGTATGTGCTTCATTGCTTAACGATTTTAACCTACAAATAATTTTTTGTCTTTTTACAAACTTTTTTATTTTATTTTAAATCCCAGAACAGACTGGAATGATACTTTTGACTGCATATTTTGATTACCTATTATTATTAGGTATGAATTGTAATTTTCATAGTAGGTTGGTTTATCCGGCCAAATCGTTATCCGGCCAGGGGCTTGGTCCCGTGGTGGCCGGATATGAGGGGCTCTACTGTACCGTTTATTTTAATAATAAGGGGGATATTTCATCAACAAAAGCCGATTTCTATTTTTTTTTTTTTAGATTTGATTGTATCCAAAACCTCTTCCTAAGTTGTTGGGAGAGCGTGGTTATGTGTTTAAAAAGCTACTTACTACGGATGGTTGAAGCAAAATTGTTCCATTCGTCATCATTTTCGATTGCCGCCAGATTCATTCCATGATCACGGCAGTGTACATAGGCGCGATACCATGCTTTCTGCAACACATAAATGGACTACAAGTTAGTCTATTTACTGATTGATTGGCTTCAAAATAGTTTCTTGTAATTTTCACAAATCATTATTTAATTTCTATAAAGACTTCCTACATTGCATAGTAAATAAAACGATTAATTATATCATTCAACTCCGCTCGTCCACACAGGAATGAGGTAAATGTTGACGTAAAACAAATTTAAAGATTCCAATCTACGGCTTAAAATTAAGTACGGTTCCATCAAAAATATAGAACATACTACTTCCTTTATTGAAAATTGTTTTGAGTTTTTAGGATTTGCTGTAGGGAGCTTAGTATACTGACCTTTTCATTGACAAGTATGAAGATTTTATTCCCTTTAATTGTTTTTTGTTTGTTTTCCTTATTGTCAGTTGAACCTGCAACAACCTCACTAATTGTAAATCTAAGTTATTTAGATCTAAAACTATAAAGTTGACTCGTGATTTTAGTGAATCCTTGAAAACTGACTCAGGGGTCATTGAATTTAAACTTCTATAACTGAACTGACTTTAAAATTGTGATGATTGGGTCCACAAGTTCTAAACTGTCTCAAAATACTGTGGTTTTAGAAAGTGCTTTGACTTGGCTGGCTTTTAGCGAATTTCCTTATAGGAAAGTAACTATTACCGTAGGTAGCATGGTTAAGACGAATATGTGTTAAGATTAAGACATGGAGCCTGGACCGACATGCTTTTTTATTTCGATGTCCCAAGGGGCCAAAAACACTATTCGTTCAAATTTGTATACATGTAATAAATATATATACAGGGTGTCCCATAATTAAACAACCAAACCCCGGGAAACGGTTCTATGGGTCAAAATGAAGAGAAAATCAAGAATAAAATTTGTTTCTAAAATCACTTTGTTAACCAGATATTCGCCATTTTGTTTTTTTCGCATCAACATTTTAACCGATCATTGTGAAACTTGGTAACTTATGTGTGTTAAGGTAATAGAGACCCGTGTTAGAAAAAAATCCTCTTGATTTATCATAAAATTTCAAAATGGCGAGCATTTTAGTTTTTTAAACTTAAATTACAAAAAAATTGCTGATTTTATGAAAAAATGACAAGTACACTTTTATTTGGCATTTTTAATTCCTTATCAAAAAATTCCAAGTTCAAAAAGATCGAATAAGAAATAGCTGGAATATTACGATTTTTAGTTGTAAAATGACTAGCTTAGCAGTTCTACAGAATTTTCATCTATGTGAACGTGATAACTTCAGTAATATGTTTCCGATTTTGATGGAATTTGGTTTTAAGGTGTAAGGTGAGATAAACTTGAATGCATTCGCGAACCAGCATGATCGGACTATGGAAACAGGGCTTTACGGGGGGGTTTTATGGGGTAAAAATGGGTTTTTTTCTCATTTTTTTACCCTCAAAACACAAAATTTTCATATTTCTATCCAAACAATTTTTAAGAACTTAAAAAACTATTAATTTAGTATACTAAAGTGTTTTTGTACGGTTATTGATACGGAGAAAATTCAAAAATTGCTATTTTAAACTAACCATGTTATTCTTATGGTATTGCAAAATGTTGTATGTAGTTTCCTCATTTATTGAAATATTTCGATCAATTTTGGTAAATTTATTAATATTTTACTAAGATACAAATATTTTACTAAAAAAACACTCTTTATTAGCCTCCCTGTAACGGCCCTAGGTACTCGTTAAACCTAATGTTATTTAAATAGATGTAATTAAAAATCAATTCAGGCAAATGTAAATTCACTTTGTCTGCAGGTTTGCTGCGGCGGGGGTATTACAATCCTACGTTTGTAATCTATATATTAATAGGCAAGCATGTTTCTTTAAAACATTTTTCAGCTCGTTTGCATCGTAGGGAAAATCTGCGCATTCTGTTAGAAAGATATTTTCCTGTAGGTGTGCAGAATCTCTTTATAAATTAAAATAGGCTCAAAAATAAGCACGGTAAATGAGTTTAAAAATAAAAATAAAATTAGCATGGGCCTTATGGGTTGCCATGCTGGTGACGAAATAACAACGAAATATGAACAGAAAAAAATAGAATAAATTCCAACCACGTGTTTTATTTACAGTGAGGGGTGAAAATTGACAAATCTGTAAATTACATATTTTTGGTCGAGTTTTCGACCCCTGGATGATCTCTAGTTTAAATAAAATTAACGTAATTTCTTGTTAATCAAACCTGCAACCAGCAACAACTGCAAGTGAGTGTGGCGTGGTAAAACTGTTTCACGTTCTTTGTCTGTAAAAGTATCTAAGAAATGTGTTCACTTATCTCGTGAGATGACAAATTAAAAGTGTGATACTGGCCTTGGGTGGACAATAGTAAAGGAATAAGAGGAAATTGCACTACAATGGTTTGAATCTTACCTTAGTAACAGGCAACAGTCAGTCCAAATTCCATTTATTGATAATAACAATAATGTAAAATATTATAGTTCAGAAAAACTTGAAACAAAATCAGGTGTCCCACAAGGTTCTGTACTAGGTCCAATTTTATTCATAATATACATAAATAATGTGATATATTCAAGAAAATTATCTGAAGTAGTATTATTTGCTGATGACACAACCTTATTGACATCCAGCCATAATAGAGAAGAATTGGAAATTAAATGTTATGAAGAAGCAAATGAACTAGCACAATGCTTCATGGAAAACCATTTACAATTAATGTAAATAAAACCAAATTTATGGAATTTTCAATCGGAGATAAAATTAAAATACCCCCGCCACAGCTAACGTGCTGTCTAAGCGAATTTCCATTTGGCTGAATTGCTTTTCAATTGATCTATTTAAATAAAATTAGGTTTAACGAGTACCTAGGTTTGCTGCTACAAGGAAACTAATAAAGTGTGTGTTTTAAGTAAAATAATTATTGCTTAGTATAAAATGAATATATTTGCCAAGTTTGATCAAAAGATATCCATAAACAAGCAAACTACAACATTTAACAATATTCTCCATAAGAATGGCATGGGGATTTTAAATTATTTACAATTTTTTTAGTTTTCTCCGTAACCAATAACCGTACACAAACACTTTGATATACTGAATTGTTTGTTTTTATAAGCTCTTTAAGAAGGTTTAGAGAAAAATTCGGAAATTTTGTGTTTTGAGGGTCAAAAGTGAGAAAACCCAATTTTTACCCCATAAAACCCTGTTCCCATGGTCCGATCATGCTGGATCGCGAACTTATTCAAGTTTATCCCGCCTTACACCTTCAAACCAAATTTCATCAAAATCGGATAAAAATTACTCAAGTTATCGTGTTCACGGACACACACATATATATATATATATATAAATCTATATATATAAATATATATATATATACATATATAAAAATTTGAACGAATGGTGTTTTTGGCCTCTGGGGACATCAAAATGAAAAAGTAAATCGGTCCCGGGCCTAAGTCTTACCATGAGACCTACGGTTATAGCTACTTCCCTATAGGGAAATTCGCTAAAAGATTTCAACTTAAATATTTTAATTGATGAACAACATATAGAAGAAGTAAAAACAATCAAATTCCTACGACTTATTATAGACCAAAATTTAAATTTCAACTCACGTATTGAACACTTATGTAAAAAACTTTCCCAAATTATTTTTATACTGAGAAGGTTATCTATGTTCTGTAGTGAAGACGCATTACTCACTGTATATCATTCGCTAATTATTTCCAATATTAGATATGCAATACCTATATGGGGCTCAACTTCATCAAAAACTAAACAAATATTTAAATTACAAAAGTCTGCATTAAGAATTATTTTCAAATTAAAACCACGCCAATCCTGTAAAAAATTATTTAAAAATTACCAATTTATGACCTTTTACTCAATTTATATTTATGAAACATTACTATTTTTAAGGAACAATTTTGAAAAATTCTGGAAAAATGATGTATTATGTGAGAAGAATCATGATTTGAGAAAACTACAAACATTTTCTCCTACTTTCCACCAAACAAGGTTTTATGAAAAACATGTTTATTACAACAGAAGAAAATTATTTAACAAACTACCAACTGATATTCAAAATTTAAAATTAAAAGAATACAAAAGAAAATTAAAACAAATCCTTACTGAAAATCCAATCTACTCTATTGAATTCAATGAAAAATGCATCAAAATTTAAAGTTTTATTTAATAGCATACCTAATTGTACTGTCGATACAATTTATATTGTCAAGACAATAAAGTATTTATTTATTTATTTATCTAATATCCTACAGAGTAAATCCATTCAATTTTTAAAGTTAGGTTTCACCAGTTCAAATATTTTCTTACTCTCAGGAAGGCAGCCTTTGTCTAGAGTGTGGAGGAATCCTTTGAGGCAGGCACACACTGGTCGATGGTTGACCACTCTACACACGGTATTGAGCCCACAATGGTCCATACAAGGGTCTACACACTTGTGGCCAATACAGGTCTTGTCTGTTGTACACATGGAGTCGTCCGTGCATTCTGCATTTTCTATAAATATAAAGAATATATTAAACACAGTATGCAGTATAAAGTACAATGTAAAATGTGTCTATGACAAATAATTTTTCCAATGGCATTATAAGGTAACGACAACGACTTATGGAGGAAGTATTGTCTTTTTCGAAATCTACGAGTTTATAAGTTTTGGGTCCCCCCGAACTCAAAAAGTGGTTTTCGAATTGATGTCCGTGTGTGCGTTTGTGTATGTGTGTTTGTGAAGGAGAGATTTGTAGACTACTTAGTTAATGACAACACATGTGGTCCGATTTTTACCATCTAAAATATTTTACACAAATCCCAAAACTGTAAAAACTACGGTTGAAAAGTTATTGAAATTGTTTTGATGTTTCCTACAAAAACCGATTAGTCCAACCGATACTCCCTTCAATTACCAAGTACAAAACTTTCATTCTGTAACCATCTCTTACCATGGCCTTTTTTGTAAGAAAATTAAAGCTGCTGCATCCAGGAGTTAGTTTACTTAAGCTTGTGAACGGTGAAATTACTAAGGTAACAGCAACATTTTCAGCACTATTCATTGGATATGAAAAGTGGATGAATAAAAGAGACGGTATAAATGTATTTTAATGGGCTGTCCTAGCATCGTGTTTTTTCCCTCCTTCATGTATTCGATAGACAACCCCAAGAGCATAATCTTGTAAATTTAGTCATACATACCTGGCTTACATTCCGTAAACGGGTCTCCATCGTAGCCAGTTTTACAGGAACACAAAGGATCTCCTTCTTGTACCACACAAATTGTGTTCAGTCCACACACACCATCACAGGGATCTGTGCATTTTTTAGCTATGCATATCTTCCCTGAAATGCACTCATCATTTGAGATGCACTCTTCTCCTAAAACATAGATGCATACATACACACATATACATATATACATATATATATTATTTATTACACAAAACATTTGATACTTTTGATAATATTTAGAATAGGTGCATTATCAAACTTATATTTATTTATACATGCCAACGCCTAGTAAATATAGATGAAGAAATGTGGTTGCGAGAAAACAAAAAAATTAACATTAAATTCGATCCCCAATAACAATAAATAATAAAACAATGAATAAAGTTAACAAAGAATAAAAAATACAAAATATAAATTTAACAAGGAATAAAATAACAGTAGGTGTCTAGGCTTGTCGAACATCTGCACCAGGGAAATATTACTGTGTCAGTATACAAAAATTTCGACATTCAAAACTATAAAAAATAGACATAAAAATAAACACTTGCAGATCAAACAGGGAAAACAAACTCTTAATCTAAGCTATGAGAAATCTTAGTGTTTATACCATGTGTTTATTAGCTCGCTTTCTTTTCTGTTCGGTAAAAACTTTGCAATAGATTTTAAACCAACTTCTCGATGAGCTAGAGACTAAAACTTGAAACAATGCTCACAAATGGATGACTATGCAATATGAAATGAAATAATGAAAATCGTCTTTATTCTTGAGCGTTTTTCATATTACAACATATGTTTTTCAAAACATCAATAACATAAAACAATGGCAACATTCAAATCTTAAGTTAGGCTAATTAATCAAATAATTATATTTTTATATTTCCCTTGGGCTTCGCCTCATTGGCTTCCAAATTTTTTATGTTTACATTTTGATGAATGTAAATATATAAATTGAAGTCAGCTATAAATACTTTAGTTTGACAATTTGTTTAAAGAGCAGAAATTAAGAGGTAAAGGTTCTGCTCCCGAGAGATTCTAAAGTTTTATGATTACAAGTATTCAAACTTTACTCGTATTATATATAGGATTTTATGCCAGTTTGTTTGTTTTGATTTACCCTGAAATTTGACACGTATGAACACGTCATGATCGCACTAAAATGGTTCATCTTCAAAGATATTCCACTACAGCGTATCCGCATCTAGCTAAAAAAATCCAATTGCACTGTAGGGTCTACAGACTTCTACAGACTATTTTCACCCCAACCTGTATATAAAACATACGATTGTAATTTCTTTCATTTGTTTTGATTTTCTGTTTATATTTCGTTGTTATTTCGTCACCAGCATGGCAACCCATAAAGCCCATGTTAATTTGTTTAAATTTCAAATTCATTTTTTGTTCTTATTTTTGAGCCTATTTTAATTTTTAAAGGTATTCTGCACTACTACAGGAACATATCTTTCTAACGGTATGCGTAGATTTTCCCTACAATGCACACGAGCTGAGAAAAAATGTTTTAAAGAAACATGCTTGCCTATTAATATATAGATAGATTAGAATAGTAGCAACAATATGTGATGAAAGTTAAAAAAGTTTGGTTATGTGTAAGCCATAAAAAATTGATTAAATATATTTCCACATTAAAGACTAAATAGATTAAAACAATTGATAAATAAAACAGCTTTTTAAAATAATCCTACGTTTATAAATGAACTTTAAAAAGTAGAAAATAATATATAAATATGTGAAGAGAATAAATACTTGTGAGAAATTTAAACGAAAAACGTTATGCGCATGCAATAAATAATAATCTAATAGGTTAAGATAATCGTATATTAGCTATTGCATGCACCCTACGTTTTTCGTTTTAAATCTTACAGAGTATTTATTCCCTCCCCTTATTTAAATAGTTTTGTCTACTTTTTAGTGAGTTTAAAAACGTGTTATTTTAAAAAGCTTTTTATTTATAATTTATTTAGCATGCTTCTTTATTTTTGTAAATTGCAAAGGATAAAAATACTCATTTTGCGGGAATCAGCTATTGACGTAGAGGCCACAATTGTTGTAAATTCAACGTTAATTTCCCATTCATCCCCTTTTCCCCTTTACCCTTAACTAAACATTTTTAAATTTCAAGGTACCCCTTGTAACATATAAGATGAAAGTACATGAAAACAACTTTTTCGTAAATAATAACAAATTATTCTAGAACTTGAATAATAAAAACCAAAATAAGTTGTAAAAAATGAGTTTCCTTTGTATCGATTTTACAATCGAAATGAACTGTACCGAGCCATGGCTCGGTCCCTCGCTACTTGTTGTTAATTAGGCCTAAAACATAATCCAGTTACAATATTTAAATTTCCTCTCTTGATTCAGATACCGAGGTATCCAGGGTGACATAAAAACAACCTCCGGATTACAATAACTTGTCCTTTCAGTTTAGGAGGGCTAAACAGTAGGTGTATCTGACGGATACCAGTAACTTATATCAGTTTAGTATACTCTGTCGGTGCCTCAATACATTTTACTAAGTAGCACTGGCATACGTAGGCCCAATACGTTGCAACGTAATACGTTAATGGTAATACGTTAACTTTAGTAAAATAACTTGAATGTTTACCTGTAGTGGTGTTGTTTACAGGCTGGGTCCTCGACTTATCCACAAATAACACCAAGAGACACAAACACACAATTCTCGAATCCATCTTGTTCAACTACACCTCCTGAACTGAAAAGCGTTGTCTAGCTTTACTTGTACTTTGTTCCTCAGATAGCATTATATCACATTTGACCTTTTGATAAAGACTGTATTTTTGCATCTTTTTTACGAGTACGACTGATGTAAAGAGACTTTGGATTTTTCCTGTTAAAAATATACCAAACACTATACTGAGTTTGTAGAATAAGAAGCATTGACCTCAATTGTAGTTTGTTATTGGCAGGGTTGTACACTGTAGGGGGCAGTGGAGTACTTGTTCTACTGTCATTTGAGGGGGGTTGGTATTTTACATATTACTATTGGTAATTTAAATATTTTTTCAGCGGAGTGAGCGAAGCTCTTATACTACACTCCTGCTTTTGTTTTACAAATACTCCTCCTGAACTGCTGAAGTGATACGCATGAAATTTAGCACAGCCATAAAAACCAACTATGAAAAGTTATTAATCTAAAATTTTATATAAATTGGATTAAAGGCTTTTCTCTACGTGAAATTAAATTTGAAGAAAATTAACAATTTGCCTTATTGATATAATAGTCGACATTATTTGCTAGATAAATAAATGGGTAAAAAAAGACATAACATATGTTAGTCAACGAATCTCATAAACTAGCACATCTATATATTTTACTTATTTAATACGCAAGAAGGTTTTTTGTGACAATTACTCTTCCGAAACTACTGAACCGATTTACATATTTTTAGTGTCATTAGAAAGAGCGTAACGTGAAGTTGTGCAGGAACTTTCTTTTTAGGGAAACAGTTAGAGAGTGGGGCCCTTTAATGTTTCGTATTTCTCCATAAGATTAACATGGGAAATAAACATTGATATGAAACTCCAGCTGTTGTCAGAAATTAAAAGTGAGAAGAAGAACATATGTTAATTGTAAGCAGTCAATAAGTTTGCTAATTTAATAGTTTTCTACAAACATTGACTGGCTTGGTTGAAATTAAAAATATTTACTATTTGAATTTCGGTTGGCGTAAATATTACAATGGAAAAAGCGAGATAGCCTGGATAATTTGATATACTAAAAAGAAAACTAATTTAACACTGTGCTACATTTCTTATTGAAAGAGCCGATTTGCAAACTATGAAAACGTAGAAAAGGCATAGAACACCACCAAGGAGAAGAAATAGAAACAATGTTTTTTTTTTGTCGTTATTATGGATAACCTTAATGTGGCTATGAGTAAGGCTATTTGTAGAAAACACAATACCCCCGCCGCAGCAAACCTGCCGTCTAAGCGAATTTCCATTTGGCCGAATTGATTTTCAATTGATCTATTTAAATAACATTAGGTTTAACGAGTACCTAGGTTTGCTGCTACAAGGAAACTAATAAAGTGTGTTTTTGAGTAAAATATTTATAGCTTACTATAAAATAAATAAATTTGCCAAGTTTGATCAAAATATATCCATAAACAAGCAAACTACAACATTTTACAATATTCTCCATAAGAATAACATGGGAATTTTAAATTTACCATTTTTTTAGTTTTCTCCGTAACCAATAACCGTACAAAAACACTTTGATATACTGAATTGTTTGTTTTTTTAAGCTCTTTAAGAAGGTTTAGAGAAAAATTGGGAAATTTTGTGTTTTGAGGGTAAGAAGTGAGAAAAACCAATTTTTACCCCATAAAACCCCCCATAAAACCCTGTTCCCATAGTCCGATCATGCTGGATCGCGAACTCATTCAAGTTTATCCCGCCTTACACCTTCAAACCAAATTTCATCAAAATCGGATAAAAATTACTCAAGTTATCGTGTTCACGGACACATATATATATAAATCTATATATATATATATATCTATATATATATATATATATATATACATATATAAAAATTTGAACGAATGGTGTTTTTGGCCTCTGGGGACATTAAAATGAAAAAGTAAATCGGTCCCGGGCCTAAGTCTTACCATGAGACCTACGGTAATAGCTTACTTCCCTATAGGGAAATTCGCTAAAACAGATTAGCTTTTTAAAAATGATAAGATATTTACAAGAAATGTATATCATATTGATCTGTTATGTACCCGCAGGGGGCCCACGCTTGCGTTGGGTACGTGGCCTGGGCGACCACGCGGACCCTAGCTCTCCCAGAGGGGAGGTAATTGCCCGGTGTTGGAACCGGCACTTCAGGTAGACCACAAGCTATGGACGACTGGACAAGCCAGCCTCTTTGGGTTGTACCCAAAGTGAGAGTACCCAGTGACATTCCCTCCATTCAGGGTGGTGGGGTGTTCAGCTCTGCTAGTGTTGATTAAGTTCATAGATCTTTCACCTGCCTGTAGCTTGTGGTTGTGACTGAGTTCTTCGGGCTCGTCCTACCTGTTGTGTTCGACTGACATTTTGTGAGGCATATCCTCGACTTTGGAAGTAGCCTCGTCCTGGGAGGTGAAATACCTAGCCCCCAAAGGGGAGGTAAATGCTCGGTGTTGGTATCGGCATTTTCAAGTAGGCCACAGACATGGACGACTGGGCATTGGGTCCCAGTGACATTCCTTTATCCAGGATGGAGGGGTGTTTAGCTCTAGGAGAGATGGAAGTGCATCATATTCTCTAACCTACCTGTGTCTGTGGTTCTTTGGGCTTCGGCCTGCTTGTTGTGTGCGACCAGCATTCAGTGTGGCAAATCCTCGACTTTGGAAGTAAAATTTCCTGGAGGTGAAAACGGGCAAGTACCCGTAGCTCACGGGGACACTCAAGGGCAACGTAACTTTCCGCAGCGTGAGGGCAACGGTTTGTAGGCACTTATGCAAACCAATCCCTGTCTCTGAGCACGGACGGTATGGTTATCTTGAGTGTGGGGGGTTCTTCCCGGAACCTCAATTGAGTCAAGGGTGTCGCCACCTCTGGTGGATAGGTTCATCCGGGTGGGTCCCACTTCTATACCTGCCTCCTTTTGGGAAACCCTGATGGCCTGGCAGTGATGTTGGGTCTGACGGGCAAACGAAGTAGATCGGGTGCTGGGTCCGAGCCCGCCAGGGGTATCTGGGGATCTATCGCTCTGGTTATCTCTGGTTTCCCAGCAACTGGGTAAGGCCTCGATCGGGTAGTGGTGTAAATGGGAGGTTGGGGTTCCCCCCGTCAGCGTGCTGACGGTCCCCTTCCTTCTGGCTATTGATGGCGGGTTTGCCTGTCAGGGATTAGATAGGTCCCGAGTGTTACTTGCACTAAATGCGTCGGGGCGCTCTACCATGGTCCTCTAGGTTCCGACCTAGTGGAACCCAGGTTGAGTGACGCTTAAACAAGTAGCCGGAAACCCTGGTTAGGATTGAGGGGCAACCCTCTTTCCGAAGGGTCTGCTTCGGCAGCCGGTGAGCCTGATGACCTTAAGTCATCCGCCCATGATGTGCAAAAGGTTGATGCGTAAGCTTCGGCCTACATCATGGGGCCCGGGTAAGTCTCACGACAGGTACCGGGTATGTAGTCAGGGGGCTTCGGCTCTCATGACAAATAATGAAATGAAATGAAATGAAATGAAAAAAATGATCTGTTATGTAGGTACATCTTGAGTATTTCCATAATCTTCAAGTCGAATCTTTTAAAGTCATCATAAATTATGACTGTTATTCGTTTTAAAATAACGAATGTAACGCCTTAGCAATTGCTCGAATTCGAGCAACAGGTACACTAGTCTATATAAATAAAATTACAGTTTTGTCTGTACATTGCTTAGAATCATGCGGTTTTGGTTATTTTTACGTTTCATAGCCTAAGAAAGTCGAAACGAGTCTTATCTCAATTTCTGTCTGTATGTCTGTTTGTCTGTCCATTCTGTGACTCCGTCTGTAACGCCAAAATGTCATTTTACGCGGCCTACTCCTAGAAAACTAGAGTACCGATCAAGGTTTTAATCATTTTTCTGTATTTACTGGATTGGTGAGAGTGTCTTTGGCAATAAAAACATGGCCTCGCTTCTTCGAAAACAAAATAACGAACCACCAAAAACCCAATTTTGTTCGATTTTTTTCAAATTTTCTCCCAATGTTTAATATTACATTACATTTTATGAAATAACGATCAGCTGTTTGGATTAGTTCTCACTTCTAGCTGTCACCGATATGTTTACATTAAAAGTTGTTTACAAATACCGCAACCATTTCCGATCAAGTTTTGTCAGCACATCCAAACCAAGTGAGATTAAAAACGTTGTGCCTTACTTAACCGGTTTAATTAATCGCAAGTGCAACGATTGTTCTTGAGTTTTGATAACCGGGGAAAATACCGTGAATCAATGTTGTATTAGTGCAAGGAAACTTACATTTTTTTAATCATCGTCACCAATACCGTAGCTTACAAAGGTTTCCACTCATTGACGGCGCTTCAAGGACAGTTGTGTTAAGTGCAAAGTAAAAAATCATGACTGCAGAGTTGGTGATCGTGGATGTTGCTGCGATCTTGGAAGATCTTTCTGATTTCGCTGTGATCGTACCGTAACAGAGGTTTAACTTAACAGATGTAGCTAAACTTGCTTTTCCAATGTGTCACTTTTGGTTTCTACTTACTTACATTTCGACAACGATATCGGTACTTTTCCTACTTAGGAAATAAAACTACAAACGTACAAAACCCCAGATTTGTGCGTTTTTTTGTCACATTTCCTCCGAATGTTTTCTAGATATATGTACCGATTATCGTTTAGAGATTACGTAATCTTAAGAAACCTTTGTTTGGATAAAGGTGGTTTCTTCAAACTGCCATTAATATGTTAACATTAAAAGCTGCTTACAAATAATAATTAATAGGAAATAACTTTGATTTTCGAAAACTAAAAAAAAATTTAAACCAAAGGAGATTAATAACTTCTGTACCGGTACTGCACCACATCAAGTGAAAGTTTTTTTTTTAGCAAAACATAGTGAGTTTTCAAAGCTTTACGTCGTTTACGTTACATGTTACATGTTTTGTGGCCTGTGTGTATTTATTTATTTATATAATTGCCAACTGATTAACACCTATAATACAGTTTGATTAGAAGGACAGTTTGTATTAG